GCGGCCAACCGAGCCCTTGGCCGACGCTTCGTCTGCCGAGATGCTTACCTGCGGGGGGAGGTGCCGGATCGAGGCGCTGAAGGCCATCGCCGACCTCGAGGCGGACGAAGCACTTCGCACTTCCGTCCTCCGCCAGCCCGTCAACCGCAAGGACTTCGCATTTCGGCTGGTCAGCGCGTCGCCGCTCGGGGCGAATTCGGACGGGGGCGCCGAGGCAAGACCCCGGGATTCAGGCGCGAACGGCTTCTGCGAGGGCGAATCTGCCCGGCTTCGTTCGGATTGGGCGCAGGAGCGCCCAGGTGGCTCGCGAACGCATTCGCCCAGCCAGCGGCTTCGAGAGCTGGGCCCCCGACGTGGAGGATCTCAAGAAGCTCGGGCAGGCCGGGCAGGACCTCGCCGGCGCCGGGCGAAGTGGCGTTTCCAACATTGTTGTTGCGCTCGCGCGTATTCTACCACTACCAGGACTGCTGCCTCTGGCAGCCGCGCTCGAGCCCATCCAGGGGGCCTCGCACGGCCGATCTTGGAGACAACGCTACCACGGGGAACTTCGGGAGCGCATCTGCCGATCTCGCCCCCGATCCTGCGCCGTTCGCCGCGTCGCCTCCCGCGCCCACAGTGCCTGCGCCATCCGTGCCGACCCCGCGGACTCCAGATTCGAAATCGGGTCTCCTGTGCCGGGCCGCTGACGAGGGCCCCAGACCGCATGTCTCCATGGCCGGCGCCGCCCCAGTTTGGGCTGTTTCGCCCGCGGGGAAGATCAGCGACGCCAGCGCCGAGGAGGTCGAGCGCCGCGCGCTCGAGTTCCGTCGGCGACTCGAACCTCGGGCAGCTCAGGACCATCGACGGCAATCGCAGTTCCACTTGAAAAGAGATCACGTGAAGTCACGACGGGTAGGACACGTGCGATGTCCTCGAGCCAGGCCGCCTCTGTGTTCAACGACATCGGCGAGATGGAGTTCAGCGCTCCCGATGGTTGGGGCGGCCTGGAGGGGCCAGTCCTCCTCCGGTCTCACGCCTTCACGTGCGTCGACCAGGTGCAGAATGCCGACGACGCGCGCGCCCTGGACTCCGAGGACTTCGAGAGCGCCCTGATTGGCGAAGCCGTGGAGGACATGTTCGAGACGACCGACGATTTCGCCCATTGAGTCCACGTGACCTACCACCTACCACGAGATGGCGGACCCTGTCCACGTGGAGCACTACGTCGACTGCGCGACCGCCCAGACGGAGGACACCGCCAATTCGCCAACTGGCCAAACCCTTCACGACGTGAGCAGCGCTAACAGGATCAGGAGGTTTCGCGGCGCGAGATCGCTGCGCATCCCGACGACAAGTTCTTGCAGCACGTTAAGGCCTTCAGGAAAGAATGCCGGGGCTGGGGCGCGTGAAGTCCGCCAGGGCCTACTCTCAGGATGAAACGGATCATGTTCGACGTGGCCGTCGCCTGCGGAAGCGCTGCGTTCCGTCTCCGGTCTGCTGCCGCGACAAGAACCTGGGGCCCCCTCCGCCCATGGCCAAAGCTCGCCCCGCGCACTGGGGTTTCTCCGACCCCGACCTCGAGAAACTGCCCCCCAGCGCGCCCGCCCGGACCGACGCGGGCAAGAAGCGCGCGCGTCTGCTCGCCGCTTCTCACCGCTGGAGGCTCGGCGCCGGGGGCGCTGAGAGCGCCTTCTCTCGGGGGGGTGCCCAGAGCGAGCGCGACGGGGCCTCTCTACGCGATCCCGCCGAAGCACCCGATCGCGCGCGCAGCTGGAGCTTTCGCCGCCCCAGCCTGCGAGGCGGTCGGCAACCTGCGCGGCCAGTCAACTGCACCTCACCTGCGGTGCGAGCACGCGGCGGCTACCCTGCTTGCACTGGGGGGCCAGTTGCACAGCTTCGATTCCGCCTTGTTCTTTTGTTCTTTCCCGACAACCAGAGGGCCTGTGCAGTGGGAACGCGCATTGACGACGCAGTGGCCACGCGCCACCCCGAGTTCGACTCTCCGCTAGTCGAGGGGGCGATCATGTGGCGAGGCTTGCAGTGAGACAACTTCACCTTCTTGGGTGAGGGGTATCAGCGACGCACCGCAGGGCCGCGCCAGGGGATGTCGTTCGCACATCAGGCCGCCTACACCAAGGCGATTGCAGTCACGAGGTTTGAGTCTGATTCATGTCAAGCACGAGGGCTTCCTCCAAGCTCAGCCGGTCTGAACGCGATGACGTGGAATCGGCCGTGGGATCGCTGCAGTGGCTTTCCGGACATGCGCGACCCGATGCGTCGGCATCTGCGTCCCTCATCCAGAGGACCGGCACTGAGTTGAACGACTGGTGTCAGGCCATGAAGCATGTGGAGTACGCCCATCGCGCAGCCACGACGGGCATTCTGATCGCCCCAGTGAAGCTGGACTCTGCCGTGTTCGCGAGCCCTGCGGACAGTTCATGGGCCAACGCTCCGGGGTTAACGACGCAGATCGGCACCTTGATCTCCCTGGCTGGCCGATCGGTCCTGACGAGACTCATGCCATGCACGCTGTTGCTCCACATGTCCAAAATGACCCCTCGAGTCGCGAGGTCGGCCTCGGCTTGAGAAGCGATTGTGCTGGACTTCGGTGTGGACTAAGCATCGTGCCTGTCCAAGTTGTTGTCCGATGCGTTGACTTGCAGGCCCGCTGGCCGCCATGTCCTGACCTTCGACGTGATTACCGCGACGGGCTGCACGTCCCCCTACGACGCACTGCACCAGCTAACGCCCAGTTTGACAGAAAAGAGTTGTGATCGACGTCGATGCCATTCGTGACGAGGCTTCTGTCAAGCATGCTCGGTGGATCCTTACGACCTACGACGCACATGATCGCCGACGGTATGACGAAGGAAGATGCGAATCTGAAGGGGGCCCTTACCACTGTTGGGCTAATCCAGTGTTCTCGCTGGTGGAACCGATTTACCGCTGACTGGCGGTGACGGCCAGCATCGAAACACATGAATGAAGTTTTCATTTGCGTTGCGGGAGTCACTGATCACTTCCCGTCCGGTTCGTTCTGCCCAAGCTATGTTTCTGAAATTGTGAGAATTCGGCAGTTTGCCGTGTTTGCAACCATTCCGATGTTGCGTTCCATCCATATCGCTTTGCGCATTCATTCCAGCCCGTCCCGCGCAAGTTATTGTTTTCTGACGCGCCTTGCCGTGTGGCGCTGATGTTCATGTATAGCCCAGCAGGACCAGACAAAACTCCAGGAGTGCAGTCTTTTTCGGTTTTCGGTATACTATCTGGTACATGCTGCTGCTGTTGCTGCTGTTGCCTGCCCTTACCCCTCACGCCTCATAGGCATTTGTCTCCGAGGGGGGCTCCTTTTCAGCTGCTAGGCAGACATCCTTACTGTCTGTGAGAGGGATGGACGCGGAGTAACAAATACACTTAGCCACCAAGCGCCAACGTGTGCGCTGCCGGGTTTATTTGGTCCTCCCCCCTTGGCTCCCTCAATAAATCTGCGGGGGGGGCCCGCAAGGGTCTGTTTGCACACTGCCTGCTCGTCGTCGTCCTCCAAGTCCCCAAGTCGTTTTTCTTAGGGTCCCCGCGGTCGGCTCCTGGGGGCTGTCACGTCTTGCCTCGAGGCCCCGCCAGACGCTTGAGTACGAGCGCGTTCTGCGAAGATTTGCTCCCTGTTGAAAAGATCTCCCTCTCATCCCCGCATGTGCCGCGCCCTGTTTTGTTCAAGACGGGCCCCCTCTGACGTCCCGACCCTTATCCAAGGTCGGCTCTCCAACCTGAGACCTTCTCTGACGCTCCGGCTTCTGCGTCACAGCATTTATGTGATCCGTTTCTGCTTCAAAGGTGACTCTCGGTGCTCAGCGCACGCATTCGCTCTGCAATGATATTTTCCTCCGAAGAAATGTTGTCGATCGCGCACCCTTCTGCGCTTGCGTCTTTCCGCATGCCCGGCTAAGTGCATTGAAGTTTGGCCCGGAACCGCTTGCGGACCCAGACATCCCCTCGCCATCCTCCACAACTACACAATCCGAGAACCACTCTCTTCTCTCCCCTGACCCAACATGATACCGGAGAAAAGCCCCAATCAGGCCTATAGGGCTAGGACGCTATAGGGCTATATAGGGCTATAGGGCTACTGAGCTATAGGGCTATAGAGCTATAGGGCTATAGAGTTGTAGGGCTATAGGGCTTTTGGGCTATAGGGTTATAGGTCTATAGGGCATCCCCGGGCACCACCGGGCACCCCCGGGCACGCCCGGGCACCCGGGCACCCGTGCACCCAGGCCCCCCCCGGGCCCCCCCCCCGGGCACCCGGGCGTGCAGCGAAAATCGGCGGCCAACCTCACCCAAAGGCACCCCTGGGCATCCGGGTACCCGGGCGTGCAGCGAAAATCGGCGGCCACGCTAACCTAACCATATGAATCCGCTAGGACCCCTACAGAGGCAAGCTCTGATTGGGGAATATATGGCCCTCCACCCGTGCTTTTTCCACAGGAATGCTTCCGATATTTGAAAATTTGATTCCCGATGCAGCGTGGGCCTCATTATCGGATCGGCGCTGTGCTCCCGTCGTTCAGAATGGCGGTCTCGTCCCAGCGCGCGCCACTTTTCTGGATCCGAGTCAGTTGTTCATCGTTGCCGCCCCTCTTTGTCCCTTATCCGCCTTCCCCTGGTCCTGCTGGTCCTCCCATTCCTTCCGCTCCAGTTTCTTCTGCTCCTATTCGTCCTCGTCCTGCACCTTCCTCATCCTCCTCCTCCTCCTCCTCCGTTCCCTTCTGCTCTATACTCCTGCGCACCCTCATCCTCCTCTCATATGTACGCAGCTCCAGTGTTCCGACTGCGCATCACACGGCGGGGTCGTTCATGGAGTTCCAGGTCGGCCATGACATGCGTCCGCGGTTGGAGAAACAATCAGTGCAATGGGAAGGGATGGGAGGGAGGGCAAGGATGTTTGATATGGCGCGAGCGCATCTAGCTTGTCCCCTCCCCCTCCTTTCCCTCCTCCATCCCCTCCCTCCCAGCGCTGGGCGGAGGCTTGACGGCGAGGAGGGCGGCGCTCCGCTGCTGCGGCAGCTCGTGCGCGACGCGCGGGCCGCGCACGGCCAGGCGCTCTTCTCGGGGCGGGGAGGAGGGGGCGGAAGAGGGAGGGGGGGTGGAACGTGTTTGGAGTGTGGGACGGTGCTCCCACATCCTAAGTCGGGTTCTTGATCTCTCTGCACACCTCCGCGCAGGATCTCCTCCCCCCCTCCCTCCCTCACCTCCACCTCATCACCATCACCATCACAATCGTTACCACACTTATCATCATCATCATCATCAGTACCACCATTACCATTACCACCAGCACACACATTCATCATCAGCACACTTGCACAGTTACTTATCGTCATCAACATCGTCATCATCATCATCATCATCATCATCATCATCATCATCATCATCATCATCATCATCATCGTCATCGTCATCGTCATCGTCATCGTCATCGGCAACGTCATCACCATCATATTCGCACGCCTCTCCATCAGCGTCGCGATCACCATCGTCATCATCAGTCGCATTCGCTGGCGCACTCATCACCATGCCCACCATCAGCATCATCATCATGCACACCGCAGCATCGTCACCATCAGCATCACCATCCCAATCAGCATCAGCACCATCCTTATGCACCATCACCATCAATCAGTGACGGGTTTCCATCCATCACCATCATCATCACTATCATCACACATGCATCATTCTCATCATCCCATCGTGTTCATCGACCAAGGTGTAGCCTCGTCTGCAAGTTTCAGTGTAAGGAAGTCTCAGGCGGGAGCCCCTCCTTGAGGGGGTCTGCACTTCATGTTGGTAATCCGAGCGGGTCGCCGGAATCCTGTAAATGTCGTCACGTTTCCGCCCTTTTGATTGAATCTGGAGGATGTCTCAGGCGTGAGCTTCGTCTGTGAGTGAATTGAGAGGGAGTCTCAGGCGGGAGCCCCCTCCCAATGGGATCAGCATTACATATTGGTAATGCGAGCGGGCCACTGGCAACTTGTAAGTGTCGTCACTTTTCGGCTCCTGGGTCCGCACTTCATGTTGGTAATCCGACCGGACCATCGGAAACTTGTAATTGTCGTCACGTTTCGGCTCCTCTGGGCTGAATGTGGAGGAAGTCTCGCGCGGGGACTTCGTCTGTGAGTGGATCGCGAGGAAGTCTCAGGCGGGAGCCCCCTCCAATGGGGCCTGCACTTCATGTGTGTAGTCCGAGCGGGTCATCGGCAAACTTTCCCAGGCATAGCATTGGAGCATTTCAAAGGGGCACATCCCGAGGCGTTCCTCGCCCGTTTGTGAGCGAGTGGCAAGAAAGTCTCAGGTGGGCGCCCTTCCCTATGGAGACCGCATTTCAATACACCGCACACTTCATCATATATCATCAGCAGATAGCGTCAGGGAGCAGACAAGACCAGCAGAGTCCCGCAGAGAGCAGCATAGACCAGCTGAGACTTGCAAAGACCAGCGGGGAGCAGCAGATATCATAAGGGAGCAGCAGAGAGCAGCAAAGGGTAGCAGGGAGCAGCATGGAGTAGCGGATAGCAGCAGAGAGCCGCAGAGAGCAGCAGACAGCAGCAGAGAACAGCAGAGAGCAGCAGAGAGCCGCAGAGAGCAGCAGAGACCAGCACAGAATTGCAGAGAGCAGGAGGAAGCAGCAGAGAGCAGCAGAGAGCAACATAGAGCAGCAGAGAGCAGCAGAGAGCCTCAGAGAGCAGCAGAGACCAGCCGCCCGACAACGGCGCCATTACGGTCGTAAAGAATCAAAAGAAGTTGGGTATCTGGGCATGGGAGCCACCAGTTTCATCTTGCTGGCTCTTGCAAACCGCCGCTGGCCGACGCAACTCGACGCGAATCGATGCGAATCGGTGCTGAATCGACCGACGCTCTTCGACGCTATACCGGCGCTAGCGCATGCTAGCGCACCCTGTAAATGGAACGTGGAGGACATACAAGGCTGCCTTGCGCTGCTGCCGAATACCCCCTTGGCTGCTCTGGAAATTCCGATGCTGTGGTGCTGTGCTCAACGCGGGCTCCCAGAGTTACGAGGAACATCTGCCAACCTTTTGAGGCTCTCCAGGCGCGGGAAATGCTTCCCTCCACAATCCTCCCCCTGGGACCTCGAACTGCGCGTTTGCCTAAAGTCGGGCCTGTCCCGCTACAAGGGGACGTTCGACGAAAAATGATATATATATATATATATATATATATATATATATATATATATATATAAACAAAAAAACATAGTCAATATCAAGGATCTGACATCCGTGGGAGGACCGCAGTTCACCTCCCAAGTCATCAACGGCCCGTTCCTAGGGGGGGGCAGCTGGTCGATCGAGCGGACTTTCGCGACAGAGGCCTTGAGGGTGGCCAGGGAAGAGCAGGCGACAGTGGCATGGCGCTTCCTCTCCAAAGCTGGAGGTCGATGGGCGACTCGCGCGGCGGAACGGATCGGGCACCTCACCAGCGCTGAAGCACGCGTTCACTCATGCGCGCTCCCTCCAGCAACGGTGGGTTGAGAAGGAGCACGAGAGCGTCGCCGAGACGGAGCTGCGGGCCATCGCAGACGGATGGAAACGGCCACGATGCAGTTGGCAAGGGCTGGTGACTGCGCATGAAGTCGGTCGCACTGCAGCTCGACATCGAGTTTTCCAGGACGAGGTGCAAGGTTTCCTCGGCGCTGGGTACATGGGCCAGAACTTGAGCGCAAGCCTGGATGCCTCTGTTCAGCAGGCAAGAAGACTACTCCAGCACTCCTGCTGCAAGGGCGACCTCGCCGGCCTCCTTGAGGACTTCGACGAGGACATCAATTTCGCAATGCATCAGGACAAGTTGGATTCCAACAGACGCTGGCAGGAGTAGTGCGACGGTGCATGTGCGGGGGGGCAGGGATGTTCCACCCGCTCACCAAGGCCCGCGAAGCACGGGCACCTGCGGCGGTCAATGACGCGGCGCACGGCATCACTGGCCACCCGCACTACATAGTGAAGGACATGGAGGACAAGCGCGCAAAGTTATGGCGGGCCACGACGGCAGCCCCACAGGCCTGGATCCCCGACCGGCCCACCTTGCAGCGATTGGCCCCAGCCGAGCTCCGTCGCGCTGCGAGCACTTTCAGCTTCGAGACCTCCAGCGGCCTAGGCGCGTTCTACCCAGCCCGCCTCCAGCACCTCAGCGATGCTTGCATGCGAGGCACTTGGGCTCTTCCTTGCGTAACCTACGTGGATGGCGATGGCGACGCTCCCCACAGCGGCCGGGGGGCACCGTCTGATCAGATTGCACCCTATGGCTCACCGAGTGCGGCAGCGCCCGCGGAAGCCCGGCCCGCTTCATTTACAGCAGTCCCTATGGCGCCCGTACCGGGGAGCTGCGAAGAATAGGGGCGCGATCGACAGCGCGTGGATCTTGGCCGCGGACGCGGAGCAGAATGCGGCAGGAGGACGACGCACCATCGCCATCGTCGCTGACTGCATCAATTACTACGCGACGATATCCCTAGATGAGGCCCGCGACAAGCTCCAGCGCCTGGGGATGCCGATGCCGATCACCAAGGCCATTTGCACTCAGTGGCGGGGGCCCCGCATCATCCGTCTACGTCAGCACCGCGGAACCCAATCTCGACGCGCACGAGATGGGCTACCAGCAGGCGACGGCTACGCCGACGTGGTCATCGAGGCGCGCGCATTGGAGCAGTATGATCGCTACGTGGCTTCCCCTCCCTTGGTCCGCGTCTCGTCTCATATCGATGATTCCCCCCTCGGCCTCAGCAGCACCACTAGGGAGGGGGTGGTTGAGCAGGCGGTGCAGGCGGGTCAGGAGTCCTTCAGTGCAGCTCGACAGTTAGGGGCTCGCCTCAATGAGAAGCTCGCGGTGGTCGCCAGCTCTGCGGACATAGGCGAAACTGTCGCGCAGCGACTCGGTCTCGCAGCGGATTTGCACCAACGGAGGGCGACCTACATAGGCACCGACTCTTCGGGGTCCAGACGACGGGCAGCCAAGCGCACCGGGGCCAACTATCGGGGCAGACTACGGATTTATCGACTTCGATTGCGCAAGCTAGGGCGCTATCGACGACGCCAACCTGGGCAACAGACGGCAAGGGCGGGCAGGATCTACCGTGCAGGGGCACGGCCTGCAGCTACCTACGGAGCAGAGGTCAACGGTCTTTCTTGTGCGGAGCTACACAGGTTACGCACTGACTTTGGGATGTTTTGCAAGCCCTGCCATTGGCGGAGTTTCAGCTACCATGGAGATTGCGCTCTTGGGGGGGCCCGCAGCTGCTGCTGCCATGGCACCTGCACTGCAATGGTCAAGCTTGATATGGCTAGCGGCATCACAGCCATTGCGCGCCCCAGCCCCCCTGGCCCGACTTATACATAACGGGGGACCGGGTCCGGGGGCCCGGGGCCGGGACCTCGACCGCAAATGTGGGCTCCGGGGGGCCCGGAGGCTCGTCGGGGCTTGCCGGGGGCCTCCCCGGTCAGACAAGAGGGCCCCAGAAGCGCCCAAGACGGCCCAAGAAACTTCCAAGAGGCCTCCAAGAGGGCTCCGAGATGCTGAAGATGGCCTCCAGACGTCCAAGGACGCCCCCAAGAGGCCCCAAGAAGCCTCCAACATGCGTCCCAAGAGGGCCCCTAGACGCAAAAATTGGCCCATTCCCTTCGTAAAACGTACATTTTCAACAAAGTTGCCTTTTGGGCTTTCCGACGTTACAGGACGGCCCAAGAGGCGCCCAAGACCGCCCCAAGACGGCCCAAGAAGCTTCCAAGAGGGCCCCAGGACAGCCCAAGAGGGCCCCAAGACGGCCCAAGAGGCGCCCAAGATGGCCCAAGAGGGCCCCAAGACGGGCCCAAGAGGGGGCCCAGAGGGGGACCACGAACCGCAAGCTCGAGCCTTCCGCCCCAAGAGGCCGCCAGGAGGCCCCCAGGAGGCCCCTCAAGAGGCCCCAGGAGACCCCCAAGAGGCCCAAAGGAGGCCCCGAGAAGCCCCAAATCGGCCCCCCAAATGCTTCGAACCTGCTTCCAGGAGGCCCCCGACAGGTTCAGAGGCTCCCAAGAAGCTACGTCAAA